CCCTCCGAATCTCGAGAGCCAGACTCCCAACATGATTACTTCCTCAAAAATCGAAGAGACACTGCTCTCCGAATCTCGAGAGTCATACCCCCAGCATGATTGCTTTCTCAAAAATCGAAGAGGCATCGTTCTCCGAATCTCGAGAGCCAGATACCACAGACCACTTTTTCAAAGTGCTCTGACAGAGTTAAAACATGTGAAACTGGCAGCTCCCACTACCGTGCTATGACCAAGCAGGGTAAAGGAATAGCATTACTACTTGTTGTTAGGGAGACTCCTATATATGTCGACCTCCATCCCCAACGGACAGGCAGACCTGCAAAAATGCTCAACCCTTCATCATATCTGAGAGGGCATTCCCAACGAAGCCTTTCGAAATATTCAGCTTTCTTTCCCCCCGATAATACCTCTGCAAACAAGCTATACTAGAGCAAGAATATCTCATATCATCAGGGTTAAAAGCAAGAGAGTATCCCATATCATGCTTTTTCCCTGTCTTTTCTTTTGGCCTTGTTTTTACCTGCAAGACAAGGAGAAAGAGAGCAATCAGTCAGCACTTGGAATCAAGCTTCCAGCCAGGAACTGACTGCCTGGAACCCCTTACCTGATTACTTACCTGGCATTGCTCTCGAGTACTCATCTTCAACATCTTATGTTTCCAGGGAAGATTCCGCATCTGCTTGAGGAACAGATAGGGCAAGTGCGAAGGATACAAGGAAGCATGTGGAGACAAGCGTAACAGCACACGTGCCGATACATTCATTACTCTGTCAAAAGCAAAAGTATCCCATATCAGCAGGGTGGAACGTACTCTAGATTTGATGGACTTGTTTTGACCCTCAAATTCTTCAGTCGGCCTTATACTCTGGAGAAAACCAGAAAACCCTCCAGCTCAGTTCAAGAATAAGCCTGTGGAAAGTTACTTCTTCAAAAGCAAAAGTATCTCATATCATCTCTTCTTATTTTTCTTCTCTTTATCCTTCATGCTGCTGCAAGATGGGGAGAAGGTGAACAATCAGTCGGAGCTCTAATTGCTTACCTTGTCTGTCACCTCTTTCAGCAGACCCCCTAGCTCTGCGACTTGGGGGACTCCTACTACATGGTTTGTATCACGCTTGACCAAGCCTGAAACTACAAGTAAGCTTCAAGTGAAATTGATACATTACCTTGTGCATCTCCACTAGTTAAAGATACCACCCCTGGATGGAGGAAGAGTACTTCCAGAGAAGATGCCACATCTACCTATGAGACAGATAAGGCAAGTCAAGACGACACCACACTCCGATACTTAGAAGTTTCATGATTACGAGATCATTCTCCCACAATATTTCCTAATGTCATTTGTACTAAATCATTCACTTGTACTCACTAAATGAGAGCTTGAACCTATGTACTTGTGTAAACCCTTCACAATTAATGAGAACTCTTCTATTCCGTGGACGTAGCCAATCTGGGTGAACCACGTACATCTTGTGTTTGCTTTCCTATCTCTATCCATTTATATACTTATCCACACTAATGACCGGAGAAATCTAGCGAAGATCACAAAAAGCGATCGTTTTCGCTACCTAGGATCTATCTTGCAAGAGAACGGAGAATTAGATGGAGATCTCAACCATAGAATACGAGCTGGATGGAAAGAGTGCATCCGGCGTGTTGTGTGACCGTCGTAGGCCACTGAAGCTCAAGGGAAAATTTTATAGGACGACAATAAGGCTAGCGATGTTGTATGGCACAGAATGTTGGGTGATGAAGCATCAACACGTACACAAAATGGGTGTAGCGGAGATGAGGATGCTTCGTGGGATGTGTGGGCACACGAGAAAGGATAAGATTGGGAATGAGGATATCCGAGGTAAAGTAGGAGTAGCCGAAATTGTAGGAAAGATGAGAGAAAATCGGCTCCGGTGATTTTGAACATGTGCAAAGAAGGCCGACTGACGCTCCGGTTCGAAGATGTGACTACGGGACAGAGGTTCAGGGCCGAAGGGGTAGAGGAAGACCTAGGACAACTTTGGAAGAGACTCTAAGAAAAGACTTAGAGTACTTGGATCTAACGGAGGACATGACACAAAACCGAGCGCAATGGCGTTCTAGGATTCATATAGCCGACCCCACTTAGTGGGAAAAGGCTTTGTTGTTGTTGTTGTTGTTGGTTGAATAGTGAGTTCTTGCTTTCTTGTGGATATGGCTTCTTCTTTGGTTAAAGTTGAGGGTTTATTAGGGATGTTAATCATAAAAGTTAGTGATAACAATTACACTAAGTGGTTTTTTCTATTCAAACCTGCATTGGAAGGCTATAAATTGTTTGGTCACTTTGATGGTTCAGTTGTGTGTCCTCCTAGAGTTGTTCTTAACATTGAAACTAGTGTAACTAAGGAGATTACAACAGCTTATCAAGAATAGGAGTCTACAAATATGACACTGTTGAGTTTGTTAATTACTACTTTAACTGATGATGCAATTGAACATGTTATTAGTTGTAAAACTACTCAAGAGGCATGGTCTAATCTTGAAGAAATATATGCTTCAGTTTTTAAGACAGGAATAGATCATCTTAAGAAGAATTGCATACGATTAAAAAATGAGGGATTCAATGGATAGGTATCTTTTGAGGATTAAGTCCATAAGAGATCAATTAACTACTGCAGGAGAATACATTTGAGAGAATGATGTTATAATTGTCACTTTTGCAGGCTTACCAAAAGAGTATGCTATTATAAGGATAGTTATTCTTGCAAGAGAGTCTGCCATCTTTATGAAAGAATTTAAAGCATTACTTTTGGGTGCTGAAAATCATTTGTCTCATAACATGTCTGCTTTATACATGCAAGGCTCTTCTTCAAATTCAATGTCATCTCAATTTCAAAATGGAGCCTCAAGTTCTAATTCTTCTAGTGTGGAGTTTTCCAGTACAGGTGGAAGACTTACTTGTTTTCCCTTGTCTACTTTTGGTTCTTAATGTGAATCTTTCCTCAACCCCGAATGAATCAACCACCTATGAATCAACCTTCATATTTTCCTGATACATCTTCATATAGATCTAATATTAGATTTACTAAAGCTATGAATCCTTCTACTGATACATTTTCTAGACAATCTTCAACACCATCACAGTATAATGGGGGTCAACAAAGATTATAGAATGGTCATCATCAAATAGGATGTGGAAATTACAAGTCAGACTATAATGGAAAGGGGTCTAACAACTTTAAGCAGAATAATAGTTGGTATGACAACATTGATTCAAGAACTACTCAGCAACCTGAATGTTATATATATCAAAGAAAGGGGCACACTGCTTCAAATTGTTTCTTTAGGAATTCTCAGGGTCCTCTTCAACGGTATAATGTTGAGTGTCAAATAAGTGAAAAGATAGGGCATCTTACTCTCGATTGTTATCATAAAGGTAACTACTTTATTAGCCTTCTGGGCCTCCACCTTCCATGGTTCCTGCATATCAAGTTCAACCTCTAGCAGTTGCAAATCCTCCTAACTTTGCTGCTCACTATTCATATCAAGTGTCTTAGCTTGCTACTTAAATAATTCAATCTTTAATGTCTATCCCTGACATGTCATATCAAGTTCCATCTCATCGTATAAATTCTGATCTTGCAAGTCTCAATCAAGTTGCTCATTTTAAAGGTTCTGAGAAGATAAAAATTGTCAATGATCAGGGTTTTCTTGTTTAAAACATTGGTTTAACAATAGTTCAAACTCCTTCTCATTCACTATTTTTAAAGAAAATGTTACATGTGTCATTTATTACTGTTAATCTCATGTATGTGCAACAATTGTGTAGAGATAACAATTGCTGGTTTATTTATGATGACACTAATTCCTTTGTGCATGATAAGATGACAAGGGAGATCTTGTACAAAGGAAAGAGTAGACGCCAACAGTTGTTTCAGATTTTTGTATCTTCAAGACAATTTTTCAAGTGTATTTGTTGAACAGTTAGTGAAGTCTTCAGTATGACATCACATATTAGGGCATCCAGCCAATGAAATAATGTCAGTCATGCTAGTTAAGTCTCATATATCTACTTCTATAGATAATACTCATTCAATGTGTTCCGTATTCATGGAAAGATAACTAGGAAACCCTTCTCTAGTGAGCCTTCTAGATGTGTTCTACCTTTTGTAGGATTCACTCAGATGTGTGGGGTTTTTCCTCTGTAAAATCTATAAAAGGTTATAGATATTATGTTGTATTTGTTGATGATCAAGATTTGTATGGTTATTTCCACTGTTCAATGAATCATAAGCTTTTTCTCTATCTTTGTTAAGTTTTACAATTTTGTTAAAGTACAATTTAGAGTCAATATTAAATCTTAATTTGATGGAGGTGGTGAGTTCACAAGTAATTCATTTAAAGAATTTTTACAAGACAAAAGAATGACTTATAGGGTGTCTTACCCTTACACTTCTTAGCAAAATAGCTTGGTTGAGCTAAGATATCTCCATATTTTTAGATTGCAATTACTCTGATGAGTGTTGCAGGATTGTCTCAAGATTTTTAGTATCTTTCATGTGCTATATTTCCCATCAATAGAATGCCTTGTAAGGTTCTTCATATGAGTTCACACCATTTTATGCTCTATATGACAAACATCCATCATTGAAGGATCTGAAAATCTTTGGTACTACTATGTATCCATATCTTAAGCATTATAATGCTACCAAATTTCAATTAAGGACATTTGTATGTGTATTTTTGGGATATGCAATGTGCTATTTGCTATAACTTGCAGTCTAAGAAACTTATTCTTTCAAGACATGTTCTTTATGATGAGTCAGTATTTCCTGCACAGTCTATGTCTCAAGTGCCATTTGTTATTACTCATAGTTCATCTTTAGCAGCATCTCAATTATTGTCCACATTCAGCCTGATAGACAATCTACAAATAGAAGTACATATAGGGTTTAGCCTATATCAGTTGATAATTCATTATAAGAAAGTAACAGCATCACTTTTGCATCTTCTGTGACTACTCAAAGTGAAGAACTGGCACAAGAATATGAAACACTACATTATACTTCATCTACTTCAGTACAAGATCAACCTCAACCTTTGTTATCTATCCTAGATCCTGCATAGCTTCAGGTACTTATTCCAATCTCAGTTTTTGATAATGAACACTTTATGAGTTCTTCTAATTCTGAAGTACATAGAGTGCATCCAATGAATACTAGATTGCAATCAAGAATCATTAGCAGGAAAGATTATACTACATATTATTAATTTTTACCTGAATTACAGTTTCTTCAATTGGATGATTATTATATGTGTTGTGATGGTTTCTTATTTGGTTGAAACTATGGATTGTGAAGAACCTAAGAACTTTAGAATTGCTACAACTAATTCTTATTGGTAGCAAGCAATGCAGGAAAAGTTTGAAACTCAAGGAACATGGATTTTGGTACCTCCTCCAAGTGATAAGACAATAGTTGAGATCAAATGGGTTTATAAAGTTAAGAAGAACACAGATTGAAGTATTGCTAAATACAAAGTTGAGTTGGTTGCTCAAGATTATACACAGAAGCATGGTTTGGACTATTCTGAAATCTTTAGTCTTGTAGTGAGGCATACAACAGTTAGGTTGATTCTTGCTCTTGCTACATGTCATAAATGGGAGCTTAGACAATTGGATATCAAAAATGTTTTTTTGTATGGTGAGTTACAGGAAGACATTTTCATGAAACAACCATAAGGTTTTGTAGATCCAAATGTCCCAATTATGTTTTTAAGTTGGCTAAATCTTTATATGGACTTAAACAAGCTCCAAGAGCTTGGAATTCAAAGTTTACTGGAGTTTTACTTCTTTGGGAGTGCCTCTTAATTTGATACCAGCTTGTTTGTGAAGTCTAATGGAATTGATATTATCAAGTTACTTCTCTATGTAGATGATATGTAGATGATATCATCCTAACTGGTTCAAGTTTAACAAAGGTCCAGAATGTTATAAATCAACTCATTGAAATTTTTTATTTGAAGGATATTGTAAGACGAACTCCGCCGTGTAAGTTTATCTTACATTGCCGGTCCCAAGCCCGGATAAAGGAGGAGGGGGAGGGCGTCAGGTAGTCGACAGCCGGCACTCCATGATCACGTCGAATCCTTATGAAAATGAATCCAGAACGAAATCGCGCTAAAGCTAGGGCGTCACCCGTAAGTGGCGCGCTGTGTGGCCTGAGCACAGTGATAAGTGAGCAAGGGTCGCTGTATCTCCATCGGCACCCGGATACAGTGTTAAATGAGCAAGGGGGCTATAGAAACTTCTTTTCGAACGACTCCACTCAAAGTTGTTTGGGAGCATATGCTCCTATCAACTTTACACGGGACACACAAAAAGAAGTACTTTGATCCTATTAGACGGGGAAGGGTGAAGAAGCTAGGACAGAAGGGTAGAGTTCAAGAGAGCAAAATGCGTTTAGGAACGTGGAATATAGGAACCTTGACGGGAAAATCTATGGAAGTAGTAGAAGTTATGGTGAGGAGAAGGATAAATATTATGTGCCTACAAGAAACTAAGTGGGTTAGTCGTAAGGCAAAGGATCTAGAAAACTCAGGGTTTAAACTATGGTATTCGGGCACAAATAGAACGAGAAACGGTGTTGGCATCATCGTGGACAAGACCTTGACACAAGATGTTGTAGATGTCAAGAGGGTAGGAGATAGAATCATGGCATGGCAATCAAGATTGTAATAGGACAAGAACTTATCAATGTGATTAGTGCGTACGCACCTCAAGTAGGGTTGGATACGAGTTCAAATGAGAAATTTTGGGAAGACCTTGGAGACTTGGTGCAAGGAATTGCTCAGACGGAGAAGTTATTTATAGGAGGAGATTTAAATGGACACGTGGGCAGGGAGACAGGCAACTATGGAGGTTTTCATGGTGGCCATGGTTTTGGGGAGAGAAACGAGGATGGGGAAGCTATCTTGGATTTTGCAATGGCATATGATCTCTTCTTAGCCAACACCTTCTTTAAGAAGAGAGAAGAACATGTGATCACCTACAAGAGTGGGTCGTAAAAAAACACAAATAGATTTTCTTCTAATGAGGAAAGGGGATCGTATAACTTGTAAGGATTGCAAAGTTATACCAGGAGAGAGAGCGTGACTAATCAACATCGCTTGTTGGTGATGGATGTACATATCAAAAGAGTGAGAAAAAAGAACAAGACTTGGAAGTGCCCAAGGACTAGATGGTGGAATCTAAAAGAAGAAAAAACAAGCCATTTTCAAAGAGAAAGTAATCACCCAGTGTGTGTGGGATAGAGAGGGGGAAGCTAACCAAATGTGGGATTCCATGGCTAGTTGTATCCGAAAAGTAGCAAAAGAGGTATTAGGAGAGTCCAAGGGCTTTGCCCCACACCAAAAGGAATCTTGGTGGTGGAATGAGGAGGTACAAGCAAAGGTGAAGGCTAAGAAGGAATGTTGTAAAGCCTTATACAAGGATAGGACCGATGAAAATGGTGAAAGGTATAGAAAAGCGAAGCAAGAGGCGAAGAAAGCTGTGAGAGAAGCTAAGTTAGCGGCTTATGACGATATGTATAAGCGACTAGATACCAAAGAAGGAGAGTTGGATATCTATAAACTAGCTAGAGCAAGGGAAAAGAAGACAAATGACCTAAACCAAGTGAGGTGCATCAAGGATGAGGATGGAAAGGTTCTTGCTACAGAGAAACGCGGTTAAAGACAGATGGAAAGGTTATTTTCATAATCTTTTCAATGAAGGACATGAAAGGAGTGCTTCTTTAGGGGAGTTGAGTAACTCAGAAGAGTGTAGAAACTACTCTTTTTATCGTAGAATCCGGAAGGAAGAAGTGGGTTGTAGCTTTGAAGAAGATGAAGCATAGAAAAGCAGTAGGCCCAGACGATATACCAATCGAAGTGTGGAAAGTTTTGGGAGAGACAGGTATAACATGGCTCACTGACCTTTTCAATAGGATTTTTGAAAACGAAGAAGATGCCGAATGAGTGGCGAATGAGCACTTTGGTGCCTATCTACAAGAATAAGGGCGATGTACAAAATTGCATGAACTATAGGGGAATTAAGCTAATGAGTCATACAATGAAGCTCTGGGAGAGAGTCATTGAGCATAGATTGAGGCAAGAGACACGGGTTTCGGACAACCAATTCGGGTTCATGCCAGGGCGCTCAACCATGGAGGCAATCTATCTCTTACGAAGATTGATGGAAAGATATAGAGATGGGAAAAAGGATTTACACATGGTCTTTATAGATTTGGAAAAAGCGTATGATTGGGTCCTAAGAGACATTCTTTGGAGGATTTTAGAGAAGAAAGGAGTACGAGTAGCATATATCCAAGCTATACAGGATATGTATGAAGGAGCAAAGACTGCCGTAAGAACTCATGAAGGACAAACCGAAAGCTTTCCCATAACTGTAGGATTACATCAAGGCTCATCCTTAAGTCCTTACCTTTTTGCGTTGGTAATGGATGAGTTAACAGGACATATTCAAGGTGATATTCCTTGGTGTATGCTTTTCGCAGACGATATAGTGTTGATAGATGAAACTCAGGAAGGGGTAAATGCAAAGCTTAACCTTTGTAGAGAAGTGTTGGAATCTAAAGGTCTTCGCCTAAGCCGATCAAAGACAGAATATATGGAGTGCAAGTTCAGTGCAAATGGAGGCCAAAACGAGTTAGGGGTGAGGATCGGAGATCAAGAAATACCAAAGAGCGACCGTTTTCGTTACCTAGGATCTATCTTGCAAAAGAACGGAGAATTAGATGGAGATCTCAACCATAGAATACAAGCTGGATGGATGAAGTGGAAGAGTGCATCCGGCGTGTTGTGTGACCGCCGTATGCCACTGAAGCTCAAGGGAAAATTTTATAGGACGGCAATAAGGCCGGCGATGCTGTATGGCACAGAATGTTGGGCGGTGAAGCATCAACACGTACACAAAATGGGTGTAGCGGAGATGAGGATGCTTCGTTGGATGTGTGGGCACACGAGAAAGGATAAGATTAGGAATGAGGATATCCGGGGTAAAGTAGGAGTAGCCGAAATTGAAGGAAAGATGAGAGAAAATCGGTTACGGTGGTTTGGACATGTGCAAAGAAGGCCTACTGACGCTCCGATTAGAAGATGCGACTATGGGACAGAGGTTCAGGGCCGAAGGGGCAGAGGAAAGACCTAGGAAAACTTTGGAAGAGACCCTAAGAAAAGACTTAGAGTACTTGGATCTAACGGAGGACATGACACATGGACAGAACACAATGGCGTTCTAAGATTCATATAGCCGATCCCACTCAGTGACTTGGATTTTCCAAGTCTCCAACCGAGAAGTTTTCCTCACTCGGGAAATTAAGGGAACACTACCTCAACCTATATGCTCCACTCACAAAGCTTCAACATACAAGCTTCAACAAAAGAAAATTCAAAGAACTTAGCGAAGAAGGCTTTGGTGTATTTAACACAATACGTTGAAATGAAGGAAAGCTTATTTATTGATATCCCCGATAAGTTACAAATATGTACATATACTTGAGTCAAAATAAACAAACAAGAGGGAGCCTTCACAAAGGTTGCTTAGGAGAAGTCTCAGCAGTCGGTAGAGCCCCAGAAAGAGAAGGCACCGGAGGGGGATCATTCGGAGCCTCAGTATTGGACAAAAACCCTAAAAGGAGGAGGCATCAGAGATTGATCATTTGGAGCTTCATTACGCGGTACAGCCCCAGAAGACGAAGGCAATAAATGCCTTTGGAACAAACCCACAAATCTCTGATGATCAAGTAAAACCTGACCATCAGATTCCTTCATCTGGTCAAGCTTCCTCTTCATGTTTGTAGCATAGTCATGTGCGAGCCGGTGCAACTGTTTATTCTCATGCTTGAGCCCTCTAATCTCCTGTTTGAGACTCATCACTTCAGCCGCCAATGATTCAACTTGGCGGGTTCGAGCAAATAGGCGTTGGGCCATATTAGACACAGAACCTGCACACTGAACACTGAGAGCCAGAGAATCCTTAACAGACAACTCATCAGACCGTTTGGAAAGTAGTTTGTTATCTTTGGGAGTGAGAAGGTTCCTGGACACTACCGCAGCGGTCATATCATTCTTCATCACGGAATCCCCAACGGTAAGAGGACCAGTAGGGGAGACGAAGGATGGGCGCCATATGTTGTCTGGAGAAGGCGGGGCTGCCTCTTCAACAAGGTTCAAGTCAAAACGACGGTCGGAGGGGCCAGACATTTTCAAAGGTGTTGAAGAGAGAAGAGGTTGGACAAATCAAGATCTTAGAAGTGCAAGAATGGAGCTTCTACTGGTGGATATTCAAGTGTGCTTTGGAACTTAATGTCAGCCCCTATAAAAATCTGCACTCGACGAAGCTTCAGAAATCGAAGAGGCGCCTGCTCAGAAATCGAAGAAGGCGTTTGCTTTCTCAAAAGCTGGGCTGCTCAGAGATTCTCAAAAGCTGGGCTGCTCAAAGACCACAAAGGTCCGATCTCAGAAATCGAAGAGGCTTGCTTTCTCAAAAGCTGGGCTGCTCAGAGACCACGAGGGCCGATTTCAGAAATCGAAGAGGCACCTACTTTTCCAGCCTTGTCAGCACCTGTCACACGCACACTCAGCTTTGCGGAAATTATGGGCATTCTGTCGAAGATTTCTGGCGAAGTAGAAAGCACATGAATCGTTACTGTTCAATCACCCACTTCCCACACGCAACAGTAGCTCATGGGTACCACAGATAACTTTGCCAAAGTTCTCTGACAAAGTTGAGACACGTGAAGCTTGCAGCTCCCACTACATCGCTCTGACCAAGAAGGGTAAAAGAATTGCAAAGAA